TCATTGGGATCCATTTGAAGAATAACAATCTTGTTAAAGTATAGAGAGAGTATGATAAGAATACGAGAAATTTGCACAATTGAGAGGTGCAACCATCCTCCCATTGTTGATATATATATATATATATATAGTGAATAACGGCTAGTTTGATTAACGGCTAGTTGTAACAGTTTGAATACGACTAGTTTGAATAATGGCTAGTTGTAACGGCTAGTTGTAACAACTAGTTTGAATAACGACTAGTTTGAATAACATCACTTCACTTCATTACATAATTCAATGTGTTTCTGTAATAAACCTACATGTAATTAGACTACAATGTCTTCCTTTAATAAAGGTACATCTAATTAAGCTACTACAATCCATGTTTTTCCCTTATCATTCTACATATCATCGCATGATCTTCTAGTTGTCTCTCTGTCATTCCAGATGTATCCTGGAATAGGAACACCAAGTCAAGCTCTCTCTCCTTCATGTTCAGCTCCCTCTCCTTCATCTCTAACTCCCGTTTCTTCAACTTGTTTGTTCTTCCTTGACACATGTTATTTCAAGTATACTGGCTACTTTCTCCTTCTCTAACTCTTTCACTGCAGCTAGTTTCTCATTGATAGCAGATGGTTCATATGCTTGGGATTTTCCCTTTCTTTTTGTTGCCTTTGTCCCCATTGGACTAACCAAAGTTGGTGAAGTTGGGTTGTACTCGTTGGTCATGGGCGACTCGGGATTAGAAGAGGATGAACAATTCCCACTTGTAGAAATCTTTGTTCTTTTGCTACCTCCTTCAACTGACGCATTTGACCAATTAGGTTCATTTTCAACAATCTCCCTGCATACTCTAACCCGAATGTTCGCCAACATCTTGCTTGTAAATCATGCATGCATCTCCTAGTATGTCATTCTCGGAGCTACCACTTTTCTTTCGTTGAACGGCTTGTTTATAACATCCTGCAAATTTTTGAATGGTGGAATTCAACTTCTGCCAACGACATTTCAGTTGTGATAATTCCCTTGCTTGCAAAGTACCACAATACTCATTGTAATTTTCTTTAATTCTTAACCAAAAAGAATCTACTTTTTGGTTAACCCCTACAACCGCATCTTTTGAAACATTAAGCCATGATTGGATTAGGTGTATATCTTCCTCCATGGTGAACCTTGCTCTTTGTCTCCTTTGAGTTGGTTGTTCTTCTTCATTGAGTGTGATATTATCCAAGCCAACTTCACTGGAAAACACTGGAGTTTGAGTTTCTGACGCGAACTCAGATGATGCATCATGATCCTTGTTAGTAGATTGGCCACCACTTGCACCTATGAAGTCCCACCTACCATGGTGGGGTTATTGGTGGTGATTGAAACATGGATTTTGATAAGGAATGGGTTTATGGAGGGAAATTTAGATTTTGTGGATTGATTGGAGGAATTTGAGGGTTTAGTGGGGTTTTTGATAATTTGGAAGAATTTGAGAAATTTGTTGGTTTTGAAATTTGGAGGAGAATTTGACAATTTTGTGGGTTTTGATAATTTGGAGGAAATGGATAATTTTGTGGATTTTGAATATAATGTAAAAATGGGTTGGTATTGAATTGGTTTGGATCCATTTGGATGAGAAAAGTATTATGTGAGTAAACAATTGGAGGAGTGGACAATTTATGAGGACTATAGGAGAAGAAAAGAAGGAAAGTTTGGGAGAATATGTGAATTATTGTGAAAGAATTAAGAGGTTAAAAATTACCAATTGGGTTATTTATAGTAATAAATAAATTATTTTTTTATTTTTAACGGTTAAATTAATAGTCGTTGAGATATTACAGTTTTTAAAATGGTACAATAACGATCACATGTATTGATTTGCTCTTTTTTATTATTAAAACCTTGTAGTGACGGTTCAAAACTGTCACTAGAGGTAATGGAAAAAAAATAGAAATCATGTGCAGCGTCTGCAAAACAGAAAGAGCATCAGCTTTTTGTCAGATGCTTATACAAGCCTCTCACATTCTACAAGCGCTTTATACTATTTCACTCCATCTCTATGCACCCTATTGTTACTGTAGAAATTGTCAGAAAAGGGGACTTAAGCATCCGCGATCGGATGCCCTTATTGATATATTGATATCTTGTTATTGGTGCTCCCCCTTTCTTGGTTCTATCTTTAACACTTAAATCTTCAGCCTTATCCTCATAATGAATTTCAAGATCAAATTCAACAGTAAGTTAGAGTTAATATCTTTAAAGGATAAGGTATCATTGTGTACTGTCTAATATAATTTCTTTGGAAGTGTTTGTAGGTATAAGGTAAAGAGACAATCAACAAACAACTTTATCTTCATCTTCAATTTTAATATCAATATTTTCTAGATCCATAATAATAGTATTGAACTCATCAAGAATAGAACGAATAGGAGTATCTTCAGCCATACAGATTGTATATAAGCGCTCATTGAGATGAAGCTTGTTTGCAAGGCTCTTGGTCATTTATAAAGATTTCAACTTTAGTCACAATGCTAAAGTGGTAGTTTCCTTGGCTACTTCACAAAGAAACTCCTTGGACAAGCAAAGTTGGATAGTTGTAAAGCATCTTATCATCCAACTCGTCCCAGTGATCATTTATCATGGAAGCCAGTTTTTTTACTTCCGATCTAAAGCTTTCTTTAATCCATTTTTTGTGAGAATGACCTTCATTTGGACTTGCCAAATAATTAAGGAAGCTAATATTGCCATCAAACTTCTCGATGTCAAACATGGTGATGACAAACATCTTGAACCTTTAACTGAATAAGAGCTTTGATACCACTTGTTATGGTATCAACGCAATGCCGAAAAATCATATCTAATCAATTTGAAGAGTAAAAGAGAAGTAAAAAGATGAGAATAAGATTTACGTTGAAAACTCTCCGGTTGTAGACAGAAAAAACCATTGGCAACAATGAGCAAAATAAATCCACTATAAAAGAGAGAGTTCAAGAATTTCAAATTATAATGGTGAGGATTGAGAACAAATTTTCTCTAACAAATTACACAATGGCTAAGAGAATTACTCCTTACTTTTTCTTGGATGCAAACCATCATACTACACATTCCTATTTATCGGCAACACACTGGCTATTCTTTAATGGCCATCTGAGACAATGATGTGCATCGCCAAGTGTGAATTCATGCTACCCAAAATTTGAGAAAGGCACGCAAGAGTTAGGTGCAGTAATATGGATAGATGTCGTAATATGAATAGTAAATAAAAATGACAAAAAACATGTTATTCATGAGAGCCACATATCTAATAATGTATCGCTTCTAAAATTAATCAAACTACATTTTTTTATAGAAAACAAAAAAAGTAATAGAAAAGTCATAGAAAAATTTTTTATTACTAAGTATTAGAATGTGCAATTAACAAAAATAGTGTATAATTATGTATATCCCACATACTTGCATTTCTTCAAGGGTAGTGGTACCGTGTACCTGACTAGTAACTGTGATCACACCATCCACTCAAGTGCACACACCCTCTACCATAAATAATGATATTGTATAGGTATGATATCTTCTTTTTAACATCCCTCACTTATGCTCAATACTGATTTGAACATAGAAGTACTTTTACAAGTATTACCATGATGCGTCCTCATTATCAACAACTTGAAGAAGCTGCTCTCCACTCCATTCTAACATCCTCAATCACATGAAAGAAATATGTATTATGAGAAGGTCAATCACCAAAAGCAGAAGGAATGAAAGAGAGATGTGGAGGTGGGTTACTACCTAATAATATTCCCGGAGCCTAGAGGCCAATCTACATGGATGCTGGATCGGATTTCTATAGCCCGCTCATTTGGTGCTCCTAACCCTTTGAGGCCTTGGGCTTGGAAGATGGATTTGGAACTGCATCTGCGGCCAAGGCAAAAATGTATCGACTCTTACTTATCTGAATGATAGATTATTATATGGACCCAAGAAAAAAATCTGGAATCATATATTCTATCCTGGGTAATGATTGATGTACATAAAATAGTAGTACCACAGTATCATTATGTTATCACATTGCCTAGGAAACACCTAAAAAGCACAGTCTCACAATTTTTTTTTTCTCTCTCTTCTTTTGTAAAACAGCTGTAGGATAAATGTGGTAAAGTACTGTTTTATGTACAAATACATATTTACCCATTCTATCCTGTTCATTTCTATATATTTATTTCTCTGTCCTCGCAATGAATGTGGCATAAACTTTATTTTATTTTTCTCACTTGTTAACATTTTTTATGGAATTATTTGGTTGATAGGTATAATACCCGAAATGAATTGTGTGGTATTTATAACTTTTTGATTTTATAGTAAGTATAAAGTGATATCAAATATGACCCGCAATAATGAAATACTTAACGAATACCATATACTTAGAGGGGAAAAAAATGGCTGTACCAATGGAATGTCGAAAAAAAAGGGTAGCGATGGATACTTTTTGAGGTTGATCGGTGATTAAATTTATGAAGATGATCTTATTTCCCTCATCTCTCCCATTTATAAAATGTGCATATATAAGGATTAATTGTGCTTTTACATATACAGGTGTAATGTGAGATTGCTTGGAAGGAAAGTTCTTGCTCTTAAAGCAATATGAGGCTAGCTAGCTAGCTAAGAGTTGACATGGCATGCAAATGATTGAGCGACAGAGTCATGCACTTTAGTAACATTGCTCATATTTCCCAAGTTGATTGTGTCTCCCATTAGATATTATATGAAGTTTTCTAGTGCTGACCATGTCCAGGTACAAAGGATCATAGTAGCTGTACTGTTTTTATTTCTTCTTTTCTTTTCCTGTTCCTCACCTTACCTGTCATTTATTTATTAGCTCTCTATATAAGTTGTATATACAGTTTATATTATTACACTGTTCATGAAATATTATGAGTCAACTTGGGGAATATAGTTGGAGGATGTTAACGTTCCTAATTTAAAAAATATATTATTTATAGGGGAAGTTTGAAAAAGAAGTAAAAGAAAAACAGTGCGTCAGCGGGGAGTCGAATCCGGATCTATTGCTTGGAAGGCAATAATCCTGACCGTTGGACTACTGACGCTGCAATGTAAATAGGGCAGTTCATAATTTTAATATAAACATAATGTTTAATATACGTAGACAAACCTCATAACGATTCCTATATTTAAAAATATCCTTATATTTTGTCATTTTGACAATTCAGTATTAAATATTAATCATGTTTTATATTTTTTGTCCTTTGCGTCTATGGTTTTTAAATTACAGTCTGTAACTATAATTATAACTGTAATTTTAAGTTTTTTAGAGAGTATATATATGTGTGTGTGGATTCATTAATTAATAGAATGATATCATATTTCTTTTGTACCATAGTGGCAGTTAGCATATCAATGAATCACGTATGTAACTATCAACCTATGTATGCATGGAATATGCTAAAATTCCAATTTTCTTGTGTGTTGATGATAGGGATGGGATCTGCAGGCTAAGTATTATATATTATTATTATTATTATTATTATTATTATTATTATTATTATTATTATTATTATTATTATTATTATTATTATGAGTAACCAGCTCTTCTGGAAACAGAATAGAAACAAAGCGAAACTTTTCCTATATGAACTATGTTACTATACTGCTGTTTAATTAGAAAGAAAGAACGGCAAACATCAACTTAATCGTACGTCACTGATGTACGAAATGTTGTTTTAGTGATAATTCATAATAAGTTTAATCTACAACAAATTCAAGATATTTATTACTCAAGGAAACTGGATTCTCTTCCTTCAAGTTTGTCTTATCTCAAACAAATAAGGAATTTAGCCAACTAGTTGACATTGTTAATTAATTTTATTGTCTGCACAAGAAACTGTATCTTTTTCCTTTAGTCTTCCTGAAAATTGAAAATAAATAGGGTTCAATTCGCTTGTCTTTATACCAAATTAAAAATTCACTCTCGTTTGTTCTTCATGAAGATTTTCTTTTCTAATTTAATTATTATCTTATTTTAAAACCTAACAAAAAAAATACTCAAATAATCACCTAGATAAGCAATTTATCGTAAGATGAGGAAGAAAAGAGTGTAAAAAACTAAAATTAAAATACACAAATTCATAAAAGCATTCACATGTATTTCCTTTAAAAATAGATATATGCGAATTGTTTTTAGTATAATGACCTAAAAATTTAAATCAAAGTCTTCTTACAAACTATAGAAACCTCTCACCAATAACTCATTCATGATGGTTTAATTAACCCCATTATATATCAAAATAATAATAAATATTATTAAAATATATAACCTCATGATGTATTGTCACCTTGTGTGCGTTTGGACGTGTCTGAAAGATAAACGGAGAAAAAAAAATGAGGTGTCATGTAAATGGTAATGAGTTCCACTCTCTTCATTTCAATGTTTTAACATATTTTGAATTAAAAACTTAAAGTGCTTATAAAAGTAAATAGGGGATAATTTTAAACATCAAATCATATATAATTCTTCATTTTATTTCACTCTTTCAATAAAAGGAGATTTTATTTAACAATATATACTTTCAAAAAATTTATGATAATAATAAGGGTAAAAAAATTAAAAACGATCGACGTTTAATATTTCTCTCATAGTTAAAAAAATAAAAAGATTTCATATTTTTCAATATTTATCCAAATTAACTCAATATGTCATTTATTATATACTCATAGTTGTTCTTTTGCCATGAGCATTTTTCTTAAAATATTTTGGGGCGCGAGGGTTGTAACCGTGAGGTAAAGGTATTCATATGGTTTTAAACTAAAGGTATTCATATGGTCTTAAAAAGTTATTTCATAATTTTTCAATATTTATCCAAAATTAACTCAATATGTCATTTATTATATACTCATAGTTGTTCTTTTGCCATGAATTTTTCTTAAAATATTTTGGGGCGCGAGGTTGTACCTTCAGTAAAGGTAATCATGATATGGTTTTAACTGAGGCTCCCATTTTTGTAACCAAAGTGGTTTGAGCCGGATTAGGATTGATTGATTTTTTAACTTATTTACTAGTCTTTTTTTTTTGTTTTTTTTAATATTTTTTAATTTTTTAAATCAGATTAGTCAATCATTTAACCCACCAACTTGTAATGAGTCTGGTCGGGTTGACTCTCATTTTGACACCTTTTAATTGTTCAGTCAACTTCAATTTTCTTTCATTTCTCGCTGTCTTCGAGTATTTGGTAAAAATAACGGATAAATTAGTTGAAAGAGTTAAAAGGTGGTCTAGTAAAATTAATTGATAAACTATAAATGATAGATAAGATTATTCATTAATCAGTGAAATGAACTTTAAAATGGGTAATTGTATATGAAAAGTAAAAAGACAAATTGTAAAAGAATATCAATTAATGTGTTGAAATCTTTGAACCACTATTTTGGAGTCCAAGGAATTAAAAATATTCGGGCTGAAAGAACACTTTGTCTTGCTCCACTTAGTTGAAATAATATAACAAGCATTTTTTTCTTCTATGAATATTTATTGAATTAAAAATTTGACTACCTTTTTTTTATTTTTTGTCTCATTTAATTTTTTTATTAATTTATCTCATTTAGAAGTTGAATCCAGTATTAATTACTTTTTTCAACTTTTAGAACAATAAAATCCATGATTTTATCTTTAAAAAAAAGAGATAATATATAAATCAAAAAAATTAATGATTAAAATAAAAAATTAAGGGTATATTACAAAAAAAATCACAATAAATTTAATATAAATCATCACCATTTTTTTTGTTAGGCAAAGTGAAGTATATATAAAAAAGAGTACAAAGGGTACTCTAACCGATAAAAAAAAACAAGAAGAGGCTAGAATAGTATAGTCATACAGTCACCAATACAAAACATTCTTAACCAAAATAAATACAGAATACATGACCAAAAGGTTAAAGCTAAAAACAAGTAGTAGGCATCACCAAACCAAAAACCAAAACCAAATTAAAGAACCCGCATCTCGGAATGAAACAGGTAACACACCACCCTGGGCTCAAATTAAAAAACAGTGAACATACAATGTGTCACCACATCAATAAATCACCATATTTATTATATTTCTTTTTTATAATTGAACAGATAAATGGAAACAAAAATAATAATTTACTCATAATATTTTTTTATAATGGTACTTCCTCAAACTTAAAAAATTTTCTTTTAAAATTAAAAGTAGTCCTCTTTAGTTTCTGTTCTTTTTGTTATTCGGTTGCTCACACTAACAATCGGTTCTATAAGAATCCGAAATATTGTTGTTATAGTAAACACACATTAAGATTTGTGTAACTAAATTTGATCATTCGTACGAGGTATCACATCGATCTTTAGATCCTGAGACTAATTAATTTTAATTTTCGTTTAAGATAAGTGCTTTCGTCTAGGATTAATTAGCTTTTCAACAACAGCTAAATGAACCTTGCTTAATATTTATGCTACCATCTCGGACTTATCTTTATTTAAATATTAATCGTATATATCATGGAGACACACAAACATTATTGAGGATCAAGCAAAGCCCGGGCACATGCATATGGATGCATTATAACAACGCGCAGAATAAGTAAGAGAGGAATATGCATCATAAAATATTCTACCAAAAAAGGATATAATAATAGTAATATAAGTAATATATAGTAAGTAGCATATATAATGAATATATATTCGTGACTCATGGACCGACGGATCTTGTGCGGATCCATGGGGATTTTGGAACACATGATCTCTCTTTTATGATTTGATCACACAACTCATTTGTCGGGGTTTCGGGCGCACTTCTGGTCCCTTTTTATGATTTGAATCCAACATTGCACCAATAGCAATTCTCTTCCAGGTAGACAATAATGTCATATAGGTCACATAAATTCATTTAAAAATAATAATAATACTAAAAAAATGTTAAGTCAAGCTCAAGCATGTACATTCACGTAATTTGTTTGGAAAATATATGATCAATGATATCATCACTAACGTGTATATATATGAAGTAACATACAGTAGAATATTGTAGTATTTTAATAGGTTTTATTGTAAGATAATAACATTTGAAGTAAGAAATGAGTCAAATTCGCAGCTGCAGATTTCCAAATTCCAAGAGTTTTTTTTTTTTTTTTAATTTGTCTTGTATCATTTAGTTGTTTGTCTGGTTGGTTAATGCATACATGTACATGTGTACTGTTGTTAGGCTGTTTTGATATTCAAAGATGTAGTTAAATAAGGACTTTGAATTTTTAACAATAAAAAAATTAAAGAAGGGCTACACCCTAACAAAAGAAACCCCTCATCGATCTGTCAGTTACAAGCCAGCTGCTAGGATTATGGGGAGGACGTCTCAAAATATAAAAAGGGTCGCGATATATGTACCGCACAAAGTGCGTCCATCATTTCTACCGCATTGTGTGCGGTTTGTTTTTACTTCTTTTTTTTTTTGTTTTTTAAGCCTTTTTTAAAAAAAATAGATTTTATTTATTTTTTAATTTATTAACCAAATATACTACTTTATTCACCATTTTTGTGCACACAAATATCCTCACAAATTCAATTAACCAAATATCTCACTCTGTTAACCGTCAATGTATACATCATTAACCTAATTTTAAAATATGTTCACCATTTCTGGACACATAATTAACCCCGTGCTAACAGGAGATGTAATTAACCAAGAAAACATATTCTGTTAACCACAAACGAAAACATCATTAACCTGATTTCCTAATATGTTCATCATTTCTGGACACATAATTAACCATGTGTTAACAGGAGTTGCAATTAACCAAAAATCATATTCTGTTAACCACAAATAGAACCACCATTAACCTCATTTTATAATATGTTCACTGTTTCTAGACACTTAATTAACCTCGTGTTAACATATAACTAAAACTAATATAATGATAAAATAAAAAAATAAAAATTATTTAAAAAATGGGTTTGAAAAAAAAGGGGAGGGGGCCCACATCACAAAAAATGAAAAAAAAAAAGGAGGGGCTCCGCATTACAAAAAAAAAAAACAGTGTTCGCGGTACAAAAGCGGGAGACATTGTTTGCGGGATAAAAA